TTTTTTTTTTTCGCAGTGCAGATGTGTCTCTGTCATCTGCATCTCTGTCATCTGCATTATGCCACATGGTGTTCAAGCTGCTCACAGAGCGTATTTCTATTATACTTTCACAAGGGCAGCACACAGATAAACATGTTTGCTGATGTGACATTCTTGTTTTTTTTTTTTTTACTAAGCCTGGAAGTAATAATGGGTAGAACAATGCAGCTCCTCCAGCCTCAATCTTCCTAAAGCCAGGGTGATGTGATTGAAATTACATTTATATGAATATTTTTCAATATATATTTATCATAATATGAAAAATTTATATTTAATGCACAGTACTGTGTTTCACTGTTAGCTATGCATTACATTGGACAAAACTTTACAAGTGTGAAACAAATAACTCCTTTTTTAAATTACAATTTGCTTGGAATCATTTATTTGGCTCAACAATAACACATAGGCCTCCAAGTTTCATGGTGGTAAACTGGCAGAAGGGGCCAGTCATGCTGCAGCAGTGTGTGTTCGCTAGCTGTGGCCATCCTGATGTGGGTGTATTATGAATATTCTGCCTACACAGTTAAGCTTTGCCCAGTGCAATAACACCTGTGACAGACAACCGGTAGACAAAATTCTTCCCTGGTATCTGGAGAGAGCCTATGGACAGCACTGACAGTATATACCTGATGTCATATGAGAGTCACATAATAAACTCACAGTTAATTAGCTACAACAACAGAAAGTATGATATGATAAAAAAACAAACAAAACAAACAAACCTCATTACTGCTAGTACAGTATACTAATTACCTCCTCCAAAGAGATTAGGTTTTTCATGCCGTTTGTGTGTTTGTTTGTATGTCAGCAGGAATACGGAAAAACTACTGACCCAGTTTTTATGCTACTTGGTGGAAGGGGTGTAGCATGGATCAAGCAATTTTCGAGTGGATTTCAATCGCGGATACACACATTTTTCATTCTCTTTGGCAAAATGAACAGAAGTAGTTGCACATGCTTAAACCTGTTGTAATTGGAGACAATGGATTGCTGTGACTAAACATAAAACAAAAGAGTTTGAATAGTGAGCAGATTTGTGTATCTTGTAAGAATGGACTGGATCTCATGGGCTCTTCTAGTTTATGATGTCTCTACACATTCAGTGTATTGTATGATATGACAAATTAAAACTACAAAAACTGTGGATGACTTCACAAGATATAAATACAATTCTGATGAAATTATAGAATTATTATATTAGGCTTGAAATGCTGAAGACATCAGAAGCATTTTAATGCAGCCCTGTTCAATAATAGCCCTGTTTAACACATCCCATGCCACTTTCATGACAGAAGAGCAGAATCAATAACAAAATTCTACATTTACTTTTGAATGCATAGGAAAATTGGTTAAATAAGACACCTAAAGAAAGGAAGCAGTAATGTTGTGCCTTGAATGGAAAAGAGAAATAGTAAATGATGACAAATACTATCACAAAAGACAATGAAAAGATTGTTTCTAGATGTTGTCTGAGGACAAGTACTTCAACACTCACGCGTAACATTCTTGGGCACACTAGTCTCTATCAATATTTGCCTTGAGACAGTAACAACATGGGAGCTCATAGTAACTGGGATTGAATTGTTCTAACATGCTCAAGTATGAAATGTATCCAGTGAGAGATGATTTATTGTTGTGCTGTGATTCATTCGTTCCACCGCTGAGCGCTCTAATTCCCTAGGTCCCTTCATGTTTCAAAAGGGTGAGGATCCTCAAGTAAACACACTGCCAAGAGCCTAATCCAAATGTGATATGTTAACATATGCAAGTGCTGATCATCTATAGGACCCACACTGCTGAGACAAAAGAGAAGAGCAATCCTCTGATTTGGCTACGGTGACTGGAAATTGAAATGAGTCACGTTGTTGCTATGTGGTTGTAAAACGGGATGAATCCATTGCTGCAATTTTCAACATTATGTCATCGCTCCAGTGAAAAAACGAGGAGAATTTAACAATAGAAAAAGTGTTTGCAAATGTCATACTGTAACCATTTTGAGGTTAATAGCATAGTCTTTGAGAGCAATAGTTCAAGTTGTATTACTGCAAAAGTGCTTTTGAGTGGCTCTTTTTAACCTCTGCCTTTTAATAACATCATGTGACAAACTGTATATGGCATTTGGGGGCATTTCCAGACATTGTCCACCATATAGAGATACAGTTTTACTTCATATGCAGAATGAGAAAGCTGTAACAAGTCTGTTTACTTAAAACCATTCCTCTGTCAGTCACCTGGACTGAGGCTCTTGCATTGGCTCTTTTTATTGTGGCTCCACTCAACAGAACTCACAGTATATGCTAATACAAGACTATAAATCATTCTAATTTGATGGTCCCATGTGGTCAATTCTGATGCATTGCTATGCACTTCAGAACGCTGCATTAAACTAAACATGTGACACACACACACACACACACACACACACACACACACACACACACACACACACACACACAGTATCCAATAACCTAATCCTCCCAAGCCTTTAAAGCAGTCCCTTCCCCCGTTCAAAGCCACCGTATGCGGCTGTATACAGCTGACTAATGAGCCAGTCAAGTGAAAACGCCCTTTACCTACAAGGTTAATAAGTTATTACTATATAATAAAGCATGTGCAACGCTGCACATTACTCAGCTTATTTCTTCAAGTCAACTGTTGCGAAACTGACAGTAAACACCATGTGACGAATGTTTTCCCTTATTTTTTGTACTTTTGGGTTCAGTTGAGACGGCTGGTGGATTTAAACCAGCAAAAAGGTACTTTCACTTTCTGTTGATTCTGGCGGCCCCTGTGGACAAAGTAGTAGTGTTTACAATGCCTTGTTCATGGATTTTTAAGGGGAATCCAACCGAATCTGATCCGGTGGCAGGCAATAACAATAATTATAAAGAAATAGCCAATCTTCTCGCTGATGGTCCAGTTTGTTTATCTAGGCTGTTTCATAACCAGTTAAAAAATGCTCTTTAACTTTAAGGAAATCCATAAGAGACACCTTTTTTAAGATGCACTAATCAATATTTCACACAACAGTTGGCCAAATTGCAGAGTGTAATGTGAAAGGTGTGCGAAACCGATTAATACAGCTTTAGACAATGAATTTGACTAAATGAATGGACAACTCAGATTCACCCGATTAATTCATTAACAAGCTAAATCTGCCTCAAGCTCTTTAACTGTGAGGATTTGCTGCTTTTCTGTTTTATATCATTGTAAACTAAAAACCTTGAGTTTTGACGGACTGCAGGACAAACAAGCTGTTTCACTATTTCCTAATTAATTGATAATTAGACATGGTAAACATGGTTTTTAATGATTATTTCAGCACTGGTCTACATTCAATCATTGGAATATTCGCATTAATACATAGACCTGTTGTTCTGGAGCAAATCAGTGTGTTAGTATCCGTTTCCTATGATACTGTGCAGATATAACACCCCCCAGCTGCATCGGATGCTTTGATTAACACTGACAATCAGTGGAGGTGATTGTAGTGTCAGTGCTGGCATTGTAAATAAAGGTCAGAGTTGTAAGTATTCCATGTGAGTGGCAAATATTTAGAGTTGAAAGTTAAGCATTAAAAGGGAACATCCTTGTCCTAACTACTGTAAAAACATAGTTAAAACCTGCAGAAAGCAACTATAGGCAACAATAGTCCAAAGAAATGCCGGCAGAGAGAAATCCTGCGATGGAAAAGTGCTCCGTATTCAGAACTATTGTCATTTCTCTCCGTGATGGGCAAATAAGTGTTGCCCCTTAATTTGGTTCTGAATGGCAGAGATTGGCAACAAAAAGCAACACTACTCGTCCAAATCAAATCTCATGGCTCTACTTTCTGCGTGATTACACAATAACTCTGAGCTGACTGATTGTCTACCTCCAGAAAATGCTGCCAATGTCGTTGAATAGAGCCATGAGAATTGTTGGACTGGTGCTGCCCGTTTCTATTCACGGCGGCCGGCACAGCAAAGGGGAGAGTGCTAATGGTGATGAATAGTAATGGCCAAAACCTCTCAGAATTGAGCTTGTGAAACACAAGGAGACCTATGCTGAATGCAACTGCTCAAGAGTGTATTATTCACTCTTTTTTGTCAGTGTCACAAATGTCCTAAATCGTTTGTGTTTAGATTGAAATACGAATGGTTCTGTGAATTTTTCTGAATTCTAAAACGATTACACTCCTATCTTTCAGGAAGATGTGTTTCAAAGTTCCCCTTGTCCTGTGAAAAGGAAAATTGTGATGGGCTCTGAGACGGCGGCTTTGCCTTTTCTTTCTGACTGGCCACAGACAACCTCCACGTTAATGAAAACTTCTGCCAATATGGGCGAGGAAGCCAGAAATTTCACCACATTATAGAACTCATAAATCAAACAATTGTCTACCTCGACCATCAGGCAAGTGGGAAAGGAAGATAGTACGAGTTCCCTGCTTTTTTCCTTTTTATCTCAACTTTCCCCTTTCCTCAATCTTCCTGTGCTGAATTACTGTCCATTCTCTTTCATCTCACTCCTTGCTCTTTCACGTTTTCAGAAAGAAGGACTCGTGAGGGCCGAAGAATTATGGATTTACCAATTGCACCTAATGGCTTACTGTCCCCCAGAGGAGAATAAAGAAATAATTTAGCATACAAGGCGAAGCAATGGGGCCTCATACTGTTAGACGATGCTCTGTGGTCCAAGGACCACTGCTCTTTTGGCCGTAGAAGAGAGACTTCATTAGAAATCAACAGGGGAGGACTTTAACATAGCTTTACTTGTGCCCGCAGGGTTCCAGAAAATGTTATTTACCCCCACTATTTTACTGACAGGCTGCTGGCAAAACAGGCAAAAATGGTGGAAGAGTTTCTCATGAATGCTCGCTCAGTTCCAGACAAAAACAGCAATTCACATTTAATAGTGATGAAGGGAGCACTATAAAGTATGTCTCCAGGTAATGCTGGTTCACAAAAACAAGAGGAGCTTACCTTAATACGCAGGAATAGTACCCCACATCGTCCAACTCTGCTGGTCGAAACCATATGGCGTCCTCCTCTTTGCTCATTCTTGTGCCGTCAAAACTGATGGGTTCCTCGAAGTCCCCGTGTCCTGCACTTTTGTACCACATAAGGCTAAGTCCTGCGCTCTGCGCATGGGTGTAGTTGGCCCGTATATATCCATAGAATAAAGCACACTTAATCCGTACAGGTTCCCCCAGAAGCACCTTATATTTCAGGTAGTCCACTGACCAATCTGTGCAGCCTTCCACTGAAAGAAAAGGACAGAGAAAAGGAGAATTAAGATGGAGTTGCAAGGAAAAAAAAGCCCAGCAGAGGAGATTTGTAATCATGAAAAGGGTATGTGGCAACCAGGACAGGACCACTTTCAGTGCTGGCATCAGTCTGTCTGTTCACGTGCTCTGCCAGCAATCCTTGTATCACAATCAATCAAGATGCTTTTCCTCCATGCAGCACTGAACTCTATAATGTCCCCTTTTTGTGTTTCACAACAAACAAACAAAATGAAGCTATTAGCATATATTTATATATACATCTCTAACCAGAAGTGTGTCTAAATTAATTCACAGAAAAGAGAGCAAGAAGGCATCCTTATAATGTGTAAATATGTTGAAGTGGATTATTATTGTGGATCACCACAATATCCTTTTGAATGTTAAACTGAACTCTCAACATATCAGTTGTTGCATTCAATCATTATTCCCTGTCTGCCCCTTCACCTACACCCATTATTGTATTTATATTTGACTCAGGTATCTCCATCTCATACATAAATTGAGTCTACTTCCAATAAACTGTGTTTAAGCCACCACCAATATCCCTTAAAACTGCGGTGATGGCTCTCATCTACACTTGACCTGAGAAAATTAGAAGCTGCTGTAAGTCTGCATTCATTTCCTAAAGCTAGCAGACTATCATCATGTCTCAAATGCTGTTTCAAGTCATATAAATGGAAAAAGTAGCTCGTCTCATATTACGCCACTACACATGGCAAGGCTGAGCAATAGGGGTCTTCCTGTTAAGACATCTAATAAAGCCCACCAACTGTCAGTCAAAAAAGTTACAAAGACTTCATAATAACAGCATTATTCATGCACTGCAGGCAAAGGGATGGTTTGGATCCTCAGACTTATTGCCAGTCATTGGGTGTATATAAGATTCATGTGAAACACCAGATATTAAATTGACACCTGATCCTTATCAACTTCTCACATGCCAGTGAAAACTCACAGAGATAACACAAATCTCCTGCCTTCCTGATTGAGATTTTAAAACAGGATGAGTTGTTTAAAAAGACAGGAGGTACAGTAAGCAGCAGTCTGTGTCAACAAATTTGGGTGGTTTTTAATAATGGTGGTGACCCAGAAATGGGAAGACAATAACTTCCAGGTGAGCTATGGCCTGGATCATGAAGCAAGATTAGTGGGCCTAACGCTGGCTTTCTACAAATGGATCGTGTAGGAATGACAACTTTACAATAAAGAAGATTAATAAAATGGCAATGTGACTTTATAATGTAGTGTAATGTAGTGTACAATTGTACTTTCAATACCTATAAACCTAACAAACCACTCTTATATTTGACAACCAAAGTGGGTCCACACTGAATCAAAAACAACCTCACTGTATGCTTCACCTTCCCTTATCCATTTTTTCCCTTCCTGTTCCTGACATCCTCTTTTCCCTTGCTTCACCTCGCTGCATCACTCTTCCTTTAAAAACAGCTGGTGAGCACAGCTGCCATAGACTCAACAGGCTTCGCTAATTGAGCCTCTATAAATGTTTTATTTACCAAAGAAGCAAGTCGGCCGCCGATCGGCGTGGCATGGTGCATGCAGCAGTCATTGGGGGTAGCCAGGGGAGGGGTGTGGGTGGAGAATTGATTTAACCGTGCTGATTTATGTTATTGTACTGTATTGTGTGGAACTGTAAGGGTCATGCTGGGAGCGGCAGCAACAACACTCGTGGGTGCCTTAGGAGCTGGAGAAAAGATGAAAAAAGGGAAACGCATACTCTAAATCACTTGAAGAGTGAAAAATGAGGACGGCATAATGTCATATTGAGAAACTTCCAGGGCAGCTGCAGTGGAGTTTAATAGCAAAAGATCCATCAGTGAGCAAAACCTAACAGATTTGGGTGTCAATCCATCAGAGTCAAACAGCAAAGTTCAATAGTCAAAGAGAAATCTGTCACTGAGGCAAAGAGGCCAATTTCTCCACTAAAAGGAGCCTCAATATACCAGAACGCAATGCAGTAACATGACGTGGTGTAAATATACACTGCATACGACGTGTGTAGTTGTATTTTGTTGCACATATGTGCTTCTTTTCATTAGTGTTAAAGGGTAGACCGCATTGGTACTGGATTTATTGCATTTACCATAACGTAAATCAGAGAAAAATAGCAAATCCTCAAATTTACGAAGCTGAAACCAGAGAATGCTGGCACTTTCACTTGATAAATGACTAAAACAATTTTTATTTTATAAAAATTTTATCGATTATCAAAATAACTGTTGAGTAGTTGAAAGGCTTTTTTGGGAAATGTAGGAAATCAGTTTAGCAGATAAAGCACGTTCACAATCATATATTTTATACAACATTATCATAAAACTGGAATTCACAAAAAAATCTAAATATACAATCTAGAGCTTATGTATGTTATGTATGTATTTAAATGTATTGGATCTACCATAACCCCTGTAATTTTACTGACAGGCAGATTTGACAGCTCATTCTTTTTGTACCAGCAGTGGCAAATCTGCAAAACCTTTCCTGATCCAAACTGATCCTAAATCAGCAACAAAAAGTGGCTGCCTTCATTGAGAACACTGCGTTCAGATGCAATGCTTTGACATCACCCTCTAAACCTCTTTTTGATGTCTTCAATTATAGGTGGGTCCTCCCCAGGAGCAATACAATGAAAAAAAACAACCCAATTTGTACAAAGAATAAATAACTAGAAAGAAAATGAAGCACACACAAACACAAATGCTGGAAAAGGCGGTGTGTGCACTGCGAGCTACCAAACACCACAATCCTTTCATTGTGATTAAGTCTAACTGTTGCTATGGCAACAAAGGGTCTACCCTGGCTTATCAAAAACTTGCTAATTAGTTTGTGGATGATAATAACTTGAAGGCTTAAGGTAAGACACACAGCCAAGATGGTTTCACTTCTAATCATGTGTCCTAATTGAGACTCTGAAGTGTTTTACTCTCGCAACTAATAAAAACAGCAGGGGAGTGTAAAAGGTCATGTAAGCAGGCGGCGGCTCAAACTGAGAACAAGATTAGTTAGGCAAAAGTGCGCATGAAGTAACAGCAAATCTTTCTGATAAGTCTCTTAGGCGTACATATACACACATAAAATACTCTTAAAACAGGGTTTTTATCTGGGAGTTGATGGTGCAGGGACTTGCTCAGTGGTACTCTGCGGTAGTAAAACTCAACACAGCTCGACACAGGCAAACTCTACAGTTCTCCTGCATTACAAGTAGTGATACTGTCAAACAATGATGTACATTTACTGAATTGTTGTACTTAAAAAGCAACCTACAGTAACACCGCACTTTAACTCGAACAGTTATCCCTCCCCCCGACCCAACTGCTATCGGTCAATTGCTCTTGAGTAGCTAGTAGTTCTATGACTTCAGGATGAACACCAGGGCGGATGGAAAATAGACCTTGCTGCAACGCAGAGAGTAGATTTGTGTTTCGATATCTCAATAGAGGAGGTTTTGCCCAGATCAGAGTAAACATGATGTCGACTTGTACTTCAGGGACGTGGGGTACAAGGCAACATCAAAGATTTTTTTCTTCTTTAGAAAATGGCAAAACAAACTACTATTGCAATAAACACCATTACACTGAAAGGAGAATCCGATAAGTATAAACATTGCTGGATTAATCTGTTAATCCAGGGGGGCAATGAGGCAGAAAGTCACAGTTGAGCCCCTACTGCCCGCCCCTACTGCACCCTCCCCCATGCCAGCCCATGTGCAATGTGCATGTCCCCCGTCACCTCAGTCCAATACCACCAGTTCTCCTGCACTGCAATGATAGTGAACTAGATTGTGGTAATTTAAGTAGTACACAACTCTATATGGGAATATGTTCCATGTTCCATCCAAACCGACCACTAAACGGGTGTTTGCACCCTTGGCCTAGACAGAACAGAAACAGACAAATTTACTCAGAAGTGGTTTGAGTTTGGCCGCACGGACTGGATTTAGTACCACAAAAACACAGTAAATGCATCACTGCCAAACATGAGACAGCCATTGCTCTCTCATTGCCTATTCCATCAGCACTGCAAATAAACGCTTGGATATTTCTTTTTCTTTTTACAGCTTTACATTTTCCCTCTTAGTGGAGAAAAATAATGTCTCACAGAAGTGGGGTTATTGTAATGTTGTCCGAGTACCATATATTTCTGCAACAGTACATTATAACTCGCAAAATAGTACAAATGTGTCTGCGTAGCTGGTTTAGTAAAACATGAAAGGACATACTTAAATGTACAATCTTTGGCCTAAATAATTAAATTACATACATATTAGTATGCATCTGATAAAAAGACAAATGAAAAAAAGAAAAGTGATAAAAAGTGAAATGGTTGATTACTGCTGAAAACATACGCAACATGTAACAGTGGGTCTTTTCAACAGTGAAATTACTGTCAGATAAAAGATGCTTTTTAAACCACCCTTAGGCATTCGATTAATGCACAGGGCTTTGAAAATATCCCCAGTTTAACTGAGAAGTTGAAGAAAAAAAATAAAAGCATCAAAAACCGTAAATTAATTTCCCTTTAAGGGTGAACTCCAGCCCAACTGTTTCAAAGGGCCTGCTGTATTTATCTCTAATTCCGCCATGAGGAGCTTGCCAGCACCAATATCTGTTATCTTCCACCTACCCTCAAATTGCCCGTTTCAGACTTTTGACAGAGGGTTATCGTTCATTTCAGTAAGTGAGGGTGGGGATTCTGCATAATCTGTTGGCAGGAAACAAACATGGTACAAAGCCTAATTGAACTCGATTAACATTTCCCTGCTCACCAGATTTCCATTCTGCTGGATCACAATTGGTGAGGGAATTGCCCAATCTGCTGAATGATAATAACAACTCCGGCAGCTCTTCAGCGACTGGGACCATCAAGCATAAGCAACGCTTGCGGCTCCGCTACACATGACCCATAACTAAAAAAGGGTAATTCCTCAGTCGCTGACCCTGAGTGTGTCCGGGCTCCA